GGTTGATGCGCCCCCAGTGGGCGGGATACCAGGGTCGATGGGCCCCCAGGGGGTGGGATATTGGGGTCGATGCGTGGCAGGATACCAGGGTCGATGGGCCCCTGCTCTGCTCCAGTGCAGCGATCCCTGTTCCCCCTGGATCTGGGCAGGGGTGGGTCTGAGCCCCGGGTCTGTGCGAGGGCCGGCGGTGCCCGCCTGGGGCCGGGGTGATGAGTTGGGTCAGGGCTCAGCCCGGCTGCCCTGGTACCTTGGTGGTCAGGACCTGCCCCTTGAGCGCATCCATCGCCCCCGGGTCTCTGCCCCGCTGCCAGCGGCCCACGTGGACCCCAAAGCGCGGGGGGGGGGGGGACAAGGGGGGGCGGGGTTTGACCCACCCAGGCCGCCACACCCCCCCATGTAACAAAAACAATCACAAAGGCCAAGGGGCGTGGTTTTCTAGCCCCACCCCCTGCATGATCTCATTCCCCCCCTCAGTCCCTATTGGCCTGGAGCTCCCCTTGCGAGGTGATTGGGCAGGAGCCAGGAAGGGGGTGGAGCCTTGAGGGCAAGGGGGCGGGATCAGAACGACACTACAGCTGAGCCCGGGCCGGAGCAGCCCGCGGGCGTGGGAGGTAGGGACCCGACCCCCAGCCCCGGTCTGTGCACGGGGCGGGAAAGGCAGGAGTGGGGCAAGGAGCACGTGTGGGGCCGGGGGAGCAGCCACGCAGAGGGGGGCTCCCTTAGGTCCCTGGCTTGCCGGGCTGGCTCTCGTGGGGCCCTGAGGCTGGGCAGGGACTTTGCCCCCCTCTCGCCCCCTCGGCGATCATGTGTAAGGCTGGGGACCTCCCGGTGCCCGACCCCACGCTCCCGGGCGCTGCTCCCAGCCCTGGCCGGAGGGGGGAGGGGGGCAGGACTCCTGGGTTCCCTGCCCAGCTCTGTGGCTGGCTCGCCAAGTGACCTTAGCCCTGGAGTCAGTGGCAGAGGCAGGAAGAGAACCCAGGCGTCCTGAGGCCCCCACGACGGGTCTCCATAGATCTGTCTGTCGTGCTACGCCCCCCCCCCCCGGCGATTCTAGGGGGCAGGGCGGGGCAGCGTTTCTCTATCTGGGCCATTGGCTGTGGGAGCCATGATCCCACACCAGGCTTCTGCCCATCCCCCTACAGCCCTCCCTGCCCCCCCCTGCTCTTATCTCCATTTGCCAGCCCCGGTGCTCTCCTGTACTAGCGTCGAGTGAGCCTGGCCTCCCTGCTGGTCTAGCCCCTGGCTGCTCGGCCATCTTCACCCCCTCTCGGGTCGGGTTTGTAAGTCGTTTTATTGCTCCGTGCCTCAGTTTCCCCACCTTTAAATTGGGTGGGATGACCTTGCTGGGAGGGGAGTGTGGTCTAGCAGCTAGTGCCCGGGACTGGAACGACCTGGGTTCCGTTCTCCCAGCAGACCAGTGGCAGAGCTGGGAACTTCCCTGCTCTGTGCCTCGGTTTCCCCAGGTGGGAGATGGGGATAATCGTGAGGTGCTTTGAGATCTCTGGCTGGGAAGAGCTCAGGATTGTTTTATTATTTGTCTATTTACACTGAGCTCTTAGGGGCAGGGATCATCTCTTGCTGTGTCTGTGCAGCGTCCGGCACAATGGGGCCCATATCTCAGCCAGGATCAGCCCCAGGGGCCTGCCCAGGGTACCTCACCTATGCCTGGTCTCATTACTCCGCAGGGACCCAGGGAGCGCTGGGAGCGGCCGTCCCTGCCCCCCAGAGCTCATTGTGGGGTCTCCCCCACCTCTCTGCCTCCAGGTCTGCAAACGCAGCAGAGATGCCGATGGAAGGGGAGCCCAGCAGTCTGGCCAAAGTCGCTCAGCTCGTCATCCTGTCTCTGGCCTGGGGGATGCAGATATGGGTCACCTTCATCTCAGGTGGGACGTGCTGCCTGGGTCTCTGGGAAGGGACCCCCTGGCTCTCCGAGCTGGGAATAGAACCCAGGAGTCCGACACCCAGCCCCTCCCCTCCCGTAACCATTAGACCGTACTCCCTTCTTAGACCCAGGAGTCCTGGCTCCCTGCTCTAACCACTAGACCCCACTCCCCTCCCAGAGCCGGGGTAGAACCCAGGCGTCCTGGCTCCCAGCCCCATGGCCCTAACGCTCTCTGCGTGCCTTGATTTCCTCCTCTCTCCTTGGCTTAGGGTTTGTGCTGATCCGGAGCGTGAGCCGACACACCTTCGGCCTGGTCCAGAGCAAGCTCTTCCCCTTCTACTTCTACACCCTGGTGGCCTGCGCCGTCCTCAACCTCTCCATCTTCGCCTGCTACCACCCCCGAGAGCTGCTGAGCACTGGGGAGACCCTGCAGGTACCATTGAGGGGCCAGGCACAGCCCCGGCCCCTCGCGAGCCGGCCACCCCCGGGCAGGGGGGTCGCGCCCCTTCATGTCCGCTCCCTGCCATCGGTGACTTCCAGGGTTAGCTGAAAATGGGAAAGCGGTTAAAGTGCAGGATGCCTGGGTTCTGGGAGGGGAGTGGGGTCTAGTGGTTAGAGCAGTGGGGGACTTGGTGTCAGGATGCCTGGGTTCTGTCCCTGGCTCTGGGAGAGGAGTGGGGTCTAGTGGTTAGAGCAGCAGGGGCTTGGTGTCAGGACGCCTGGGTTCTATTCCTGGTGTTACTGGCTTTGCCCGTTACTTTGGGGTACGCTCATTTATTAGGGTCACTCTTCTGGGGCGGGGGGGGGGTGTTCCGTACTTCTATCAATGTGCTGCTTGTGTCACTTGTGTTTTCATATGGAGCTCTACTTCTCCCTGCTGCAAGTCCCCTCCCAATGGAGCTACCCTGCAGGACCTCGGTTCCTTGGGTGACCAGACAGCAAGTGTGAAAAATCAGGACGGGG